CGTGATGAGAGTTCGAACCTACATCCAAGAGGATCCAAACGCGGCACAGTCGATTAAGTCACGTCTGGGACGTAGGTTCAAACCCTCATCACGGCCCTTGTGGATTTGTTCATTTGATGCATTACGCTATTGTGATTTCTGTGTGTGTATATCCATTTATCAATCCATCATTCCATCCATTTATCCATATACCTATCTATGTCCCTGAGTCTCTGGTGGTGTTGCACAAAGTAAGCCGAACCTTCGGTCAACGTTATGTTCCCTAACAGATTCTCCTGTAACATTTGCAGGAGAATCCACGAACTTTGCAGGAAGGGTCTACGAACTTTATGGCCAAAGACTAACTTAAAAGGAGAATAACCCAATGAACTTTGTAACTCCTCTCGAGCAGCAAACAAAACATAAGGCAAATTCTTATCCCAGAAGTTGTGGGAACTCTCGCACGATGTCTGCAACATCTGCTTCAGAGTTAGAACGAACTGCTCAATTACCCCCTGACTCTGTGGATGGTATGCACTGGAAACCTTATGAGTTATTCCATGGTCCTTACAGAATTGTTAAAAAATATCAGACCTAAAATTAGTACCATTGTCAGTTTGCACGACCCGAAGCAATCCAAAATTAGAAAAAAATGCAACATACGAGCAAAAACAGTCTTTGCTCGGATGTTCCTTACAGCGAAAACCACAGGGTAACGGGTCATGATACACATCATCATGATTAGGTAAATATTCCCAGACTTAGTTCTAGGTAATGGCAACACAGTCCATTACCAAATGAGTAAATGGTTCCTCCGACACGACAATAGGCCTTAAAGGAGCTTTAGGTGGTGTCTGGTTAGGTTTCCCAACAAGCTGACAAGGAATGCTTGAGTTACAAAATTTTGCCACATCGCTTTTCAGCTTGGGCCAAAAGAAGTATTTAAAGATTTTGTGATAGGTGATATTAATACCTTGATGTCCCCCCATAGGATCATCATGAGCAGATGCCAAAACTCTCTCCCTATAGCAGGTAGGCAACATAATCTGGTGGACTACCTCCCACTCATTTGACAAGGGAGAACTCTGTGGTCTCCATTTTCTCATCAAAATCTGATCATTGTAATAGTACTCAGTTGCTACATCTACAATCTCCTCCTTAAAGAGAGCTACCTCATGACATTCTGCAAGACTGGGATCAGCTTTCTGTAAATCACTCAAGGAGGCGTCCATGCCTTGGTCAGATGTCATTGGCCGAGGCTCAACAGTGTGCTCCTCCACCTCCTCACTACTCTCGGTAGGAGGCGATGATAGGCCCTCCACAGTGTCCTCGGCCATGTCATCAAATCAGGCCACGAACGTGTCTGCAAGGTCCACTTGGCTTCCACCACTCGGAAAGTTCCCCGTGTCCTCGGGATTTACCACCTTGGCAACCACAGGGCTGCCCTTACATTTAAGTCCCATAGACCTGGTCACCGCGCACGCAGGGTACATAACATTATCCTCTGCGGCATGTAGATCCAGGGAAACCATAGGGGTAGGCAATATAATAGGCTGTCTGGAGTCCCCTACCATATCCCCTGCTAAATCATTACCCAATATTACATCAACATTAGGGAAAGGTAGGTACGAAGTGACTCTGACTGTACAAACACCCTTGTAGAAATCAGATTCCAGGGTAACCTTATGGAGGGGTACTGCTCGAGTATCACTAGTGACACCCTCGACCAGTACTACCTCTCCAATGTCGAGAGTGTTGGTACCTTCCAGTGTACTCTCTAAAATTAAAGTCTGGATGGCACCGGTGTCTCGGAAGATCACCATGTCCTTCCAGGAAGGACCCTCAGACAAAAGTAGTCTCCCTTTCGATAAGAATGGGGTAAGTAGGTCCATCCACTGTGGGTTGGAGATCTTACTCCCTAACCCTTCAGAAGGCCTCAAGCCCTGTGTCACAACAGGAGCATTGGGTCTTTTTTTCGGGTGCAGTTGCCAACAACGGCTAGTAGTGTGGTTTGCACGTTTACAGTGACCACAGACTTGTCGGGGAGAAGAGATACTACTAACAGGATTGCCGTTTGGTTCACCCTTAGGTGTCGTGGGGCTAGACAATTTAACAGGGTTAGTTATGTCTGAAACAGAAGGTGCATTAGTTGTAGGGTTAGAATGGGCTGGTCTGGACTGACTGTGGTTATAAGTTTTATTACTCTGTGGGATATAATTATTTTTATTGGGCTTTTTGCCCGCCAACTGGTAGTTTTCTGCCATCTTGGCCAAATCCATAATATTAGAATCTACCTCTGTCCTTCCTCTAAGGTACCGTGCTACCGGCTCTGGCATATTATCTATAAAATTCTCCACTAAAACTAAATTCTTGAGTGCCTTGTATATTTCGACTTTAGCTGAGCGAATCTATCTTTCAAGCAATCTAATTTGGTCATTAGCAAATTCAGTGAGGGGTTGGTTGTGAGTAGGCCTAAGGTTGCGATAAGCTTAGCGGTGAACTTCAAGGCGTAATTTCATATGCCCTCAAAATCCGTTGCCTGATTTTACTATATTTAAAACACTCGTCGTCTGGCATGTTTATAAAAAAATCTTGGGCCTTACCCTAAGTCTTCCCTGTAGGATTTTCACCCACTCTTCCTTTGGCCAGTTCATGGACAAGGCCAATCTCTGAAAATGGTTGAAAAACCTTTCAGGGTCTGACTCTAAAAATTCAGGCAAGTTATGCTTTTTATTATAATGCCTGGGGTTTGAATCCCCGGCAGGTGGTAGTACAGTAGCATTCGCTCTAAATTTAGCCTCCTCGGTTTTGAGTCTTTGCACCTCTAGTCTTATTTTTGCTAATTCTAGGGCTACCACTCTGTCCCTATGAGCTGCACTTTCAGCTTGGCTAGGCTGGCATAAAGGTGTATCACTTGGTAATAGTTCTTGATCTATGCAATGTTGTAATATTTCTTTCACCAAAGTCCACTTTTTATCCGAGTCATTTAACTCGAGGTCGAATTCCTTACCTAACAATGGATAATTAATGATATTAATTATATTTTTAATTATATATATAAAATTAATTAATTATTTTATATATATAATTATATTATTATTAAGTATTTTTTAATTATTATTATTAATTATATACAAATATTATTTATTATTAATTATTTTATTAATTAATAATAATTATTAATTATAATGAATTATTTTATTAATTAATAATAATTATTAATTATAATTAATTATTTTATACATATAATTAATTAATTATATATAATTAATGATAATTAACGATGATTAATGGATAACGATACTAAATTAGATTTGGTAAGCTTCTTGATCTCTACCACTGAAGGGTCATTTCCCAGTTCCTGCAATTTAGCCTCCATCACTAATTAATCTAGCGCCTAGCCAAAGTAAAAAATAAAAAATAAAAATTGGAAATAACAAAAATTTGCACGACCCTTATCACAAGGCTACACTTACCTCAATCGTGAAGGAATCCAGCTGGGTGTCCAGTCAGTGCAAGGTGTTTCCTTAGTTGATCTGGGCCCTAGGCTACCACACAACCGTTCTGTGGAATTCAAGAATTTTAGTTTTTGCCACTCAAAAATCTAATTTTTTACAATAAAAATGTTCATCCCGGACGGGCCCCCACTTGTTACAAATTTAAGTGCTGTTATGGGGGGTATAGAGTATTAAAGAGAAGGACCAATAGCTAGAGTCAAGATGTATCAAAATTTGTGGCATAAATAGGCCCGCCTCCAAGGAACATAGGTTCCTGTTTATGCTTTAAGGTTTTAGAAACAGATCTGTCGTCTGGGATACCATCATCTACACCACTACAACCGGATTAATGGATACACCTCAAAAACTAACTTATTTATTAAACCCTCTTAACAACCCCCCATATACATTACCAACAATAACAATAACTACTTTACCACACTATCTTACTTTAAAAGCTTGGTCCACATAGGCAGGATACAAGGTATTACAATTAGGACAAGCTAGGGTAAAGTCTACTAGGCAAGGGACACTAGCAAGGACTCTAAGTAGCTTGGTACCACTTGAGCACATGTGGTTCCACTGAGACCCCTTAGAGTAACTTAGCAATATAAACACTAGCGTAGCCTATACACATTACTACACCCTTATGCCAGAAAACGTACATGCTACACGGTACTTAGCTTTGTAAACTAGACACAGGATAAGGTAAGGGAAGAGGAGGAGGCAGAGCCCCACAGGGAAGATGTTTCCACAACACAGCCAGAACAGAGAAGGAGGACCCAGCGTCCTCCTGCCTCCCACTCACTTGCTGCCGGACGGAATTCAGCTGATTGTACAGCAGACATCAACCCAAGTTTACTCAGACCTTCCTTACTATTTCCCTTAAACATTCTAAGAATAGGTGATAATTAGTTCACTTATAATTAATCAACAACAAGCTCAAGAGTCTGAATGCTCTGGGAGAAACAAGATTCGTCTTACGTTTGGCAAGGGCGACAGGAATAAGGCGTACGGTTTTAAGGAGCCCTGATATAAATATTATTGTAATTAAATATCCTTCTCACATGATCCAATTCTATGAATTAATGTAAGGTAATTGTTTAGAGCTCAAATTGACCTCTGGTTTCCATCTGAGGAACCCAAGGTCGTAACACGATCCCTTTCTTATTCCTAATACTATCTTCTTTATTACACCTGACCTTTCGTACTCTTTGCCTTGCTTTTTCTTCCTCTAAGATTTTCTTCTTCTCACTTCTCTCTTGCCTATTTATTGCCATCGCTTCCTTCCCTCATCACATTCGACATGAGAATGGTCCAGGACGGACCAAAACGTCGTCGTCCCTTCACTTTCTATTGTGTGGTTTGGTCAACAATAAAATTCGAAGTTTTTCTTGGCGGGTGGTGACAGTGGTACTTTAGTGTTGTGATTGGTGACAGTGGTTGTTGTTGTTAGTGGACGTTATGTTTGAAGGTTGTGGTTGGTGAGTGGTAGTTGATTATTGTGATTGAGGGAAGTGATAGTTAGTTGTGGAAGTGGTGGTTGATGATTGAGGTTTTTGGTAGTTGTGACTGGTGGCAGTGGAAGTTGATGGTTGTGGTTGGTGGCAGTGGTGGTTGATGGTTGAGGTATGTAGTGGTGGTTGATATATGATATTGTAGTGGTGGGCTGATGGTTGTATTTGGTGGAAGTGGTGGTTGATATTTGTGGTTGGTGCAAGTGGTAGTTAGTGGTAGGGAGGGTTGTGGTTTGTAGCAGTTGTGGTTGATGGTTACTGTGCTTAATTGTTGTTGGTGGTGGCAGTGGTTTATAGTTGTGGTTAGTGGCTGATGGTTGTGGTTGATGACAGTTGTGGCTGATGGTTGTGGTTGATGACAGTTGTAGTTAGTGGCTGATGATTGTGGTTGATGACAGTTGTGGTTCATGGTTACTGTGGTTGATGGTTGTGGTTCATGGTTACTGTGGTTGATGGTTGTGGTTGGAGGTAGTACTGGTTGATGGATGTGGCTGGTGGCAGTGGTGGTTGTGATTGGTGGCAATGATTGTTGATGGTTGTGGTTGAAGGCAGGTGTGGTTGATAATTTTGGTTGGTGGCAACTGTGATTCATGGTTTCGGTAGGTGATGGTTGTGGTTGGTGCTAGTGGTTTATGGTTGTGGTAGTGGTTAATGGTTGGAGTTGGCGGCAATGGGGGTTGATAGTTGTTGTTGTAGCAGTTGTGGTTGATAGTTGTATGGGATGATGAGTGTGATTGGTGGTAGAAGTTAATAGTTGTTGGTAGTAGTTACTGAAGGTTCTGGTTGGTGTCAGTTGTGGTTGAAAACCGTGGTTAGTGGCAGTGGTAGTTGATGGTTGTGGTGGTTGACGGTTGAGGTTGATGGCGGTGGATGGTGGTTGATTGGTTTGTGGCAGTTGTGCTTGTTGGCAGTAATGGGTAATGGTTGTGATTGCTGGTAGTAGAAGTTGATTGTTGTGCTTGGTGACAGTGGTAATTGATGGTTATAGTTGGTGGCTGTGGTTGTTGTGGCTGAAGGCAGTGGTGGTTGTTGCTGGTGGTTGTCGATATTTGTAGTTGGTGGTAGTTGTGGTTTATATTTGTGGTTGATGGTAGTGATGGGAGATAGTTTTGGTTAGTGGTAGTGATGGTGGGTGGTATTGGTGGTTCATGATAGTGGTGGTTCATATTTGTGGTTGTTGCGTGATGGTTATAGTGGGTGGTAGTTTTGTTTGGTGTAGTGAGGGCTTTTAGGTGTTTTTTATTGTAGGAAATGTTGGTTGTTCTTGTGGTTGTAGTTGGTGGCAGTACTCACCTAGTTGTGCTTGCGGGGGATTGAGCTTTGGTCCCACCTCTCAACCGTCAATCAACTGATGTACAGATTCCTGAGCTTCTCGAGGTCTATCATATCTACATTTGAAACTATGTATAGAGTCAGCCTCTCCCTGGGCTCCTCGGTCTTCCAACGACGTGAGGTGCAGTTCACTCAGCCTTTCCTCGTAACTTATGCCTCTTAGTTCTAGAATTATCCGAGTGGCATACCTCTGAATTTTTTTTAGCTTCGTCTTGTGCTTAAATTAACAAAGTACGGGCTCCATGCTGGGGCCGTATACTCAAGGATCGGCCTTACGTATGTGGCATACAAGGTTCTAAAAGATTCTTTACACAGGTTTCTGAAGGTAGTTCAGATGTTAGCCAGCCTCGCATACGCCGTCGATGTTATTCTTTTGATGTTGGCTTCAGGAGACAGGTTTGGCGTGATATCGACTCCTAGATCTTTCTCTATGTCCGTTTCGTGAAGTACCTCACCTCTCATTCGGTATCCAGTGTCTGGCCTCCTATTTCCCCCACATAGTTTCTTTACCTTACACTTAATTTGGTTGAACTTTGGTAGCCATTTGTGGGACCATTTCTTCAATTTGTCTTGGTCACATTGTAGCCTCATACTATCTTCCTCTGTCTTAATACTCCTCATAATTTTTGCATCATCAGCAAACATTGAAAGGAACAAGTCTGTTCCCTTTTTGAAGGAAGGAGTCTACTCCCTTAAGGAGATCATTTCCATATGTCAGAAACAGTATAGGTCCAAGGACTGATCCCTCTGGGACACCACTGGTGATGCCGCGCCACCCCAAGTTCTCACCCCTCTCACAGTGACTCGCTGTTTTCTGTTGCTTAGGTACTTCCTTATCCAGAAGAGTACCTCCCCATTCACTCCCGCCTGCATCTTAAGCTTGTGCACCAGTCTCTTTTGTGGTACTGTGCCAAAGGCTTTCTGGCAATCCAAAAATACGCAGTCTCCCTAGCCCTCTCTTTCTTGCCTGATTTTTGTTGCCTGGTCGTAGAATTCAGCTAATCCCGTGAGGCATGATTTGCCATCCCTGAACATGCTGATGTTGAGTTACAAAGTTCTTTCGCTCCAGATGTTCCACTAGCTTTTTTTTCGTACATTCTTCTCCAACATCTTGCATGGTATGCAAGTTAGGGACACTGGCCTGTAGTTCAGTGCCTCCTTTCTATCACCCTTCTTAAATTTCGGGACTACATTAGCCGTCTTCCAAATATTTGGCAGTTCTCCTTTTACCAGTGATTCGTTATACATCATGGAGAGTGGCTGGCACAGAGCCTGTGCTCCTTCCGTCAACATCCACGGTGAGATTTCATCCGGCCCTACTGCGCTTGTCACATCCAACTCTAGTAGATACTTTCTCACCTCCCCACTGGTTATCACACAAACTCATCTAGTGGAGTCTTGTTAGATATTTCCTCTTTCTCTGGGAATTTTCCTTGCTCTAGTGAAAACTGGAATTCCCGTACATTTCCCTCTCGTTTGTAGTACCGTCTACCCCTATCCTCAGTTTTATTACCTGTTTCCTCACTGTTATTGTTCTCCTGAGTGGTTGTGCAGCAACTTAGTTCTTTTGCCTTGCTTGACATTTTCGTATTGTATTTCTTCCTCTCTTCTCACCCTGACTGGTGCTCTCCTTCCGTCAACATCCACGGTGAGATTTCATCCAGCCCTACTGCGCTTGTCACATCCAACTCTAGTAGATACTTTCTCACCTCCCCACTGGTTATCACACAAACTCATCTAGTGGAGTCTTGTTAGATATTTCCTCTTTATCTCTGGGAATTTTCCTTGCTCTATCGTGAAAACTGGAATTTCTTATTGAGTTCCCGTACATTTCCCTCTCGTTTGTAGTAAATCCGTCTACCCCTATCCTCAGTTTTATTACCTGTTTCCTCACTGTTATTGTTCTCCTGATGTGGTTGTGCAGCAACTTAGTTCTTTTGCCATGCTTGATGTGTCATTTTCGTATTGTATTTCTTCCTCTCTTCTCACCCTGACTTAATCATTCCTGGTGCTCTTGTACCTTACTCTGCTCTCTTGTGTCCTGTTTTTTTCTATAGTTTCTCCATGCTCTTGTACTTGGCTGCTTTGCTAGCTTACATCTCTGATTAAACCACGGGTTTCTCATCTGCATTATTTTTTTTCCTTATCGGATTGGGAAGAACTAGTCTGTTGCCTCCTTACACCTCTGTGTGATGTAATCAATCATGTCTTGGGCCGTCTTTCCCCTGAGTTCTATTTCCCACGTAATATCTGATAGGAATTTACTTATCTCCTCATAGTAACCCTTTCGGAATGCCAAACTTTTCCTTTCTGCTCCCTTCCTTGTGTACAATAACCCTACTTCGACCAGATACTCAAACATCAGTACAATGTGATATCTCATTCCCGCGGGGGGCTCGAAACAGATTTCCCTTATGTCGGAGTCGTTCACGAAGAAGACTAGACCGAGACTCACTGGTTCATCATTGCCTCTCATTCTTGTGGGTTCCCTGACTTGCTGGCTTAAAATGTTTCTTGTCGCCACTTCCAACAGTTTAGCTTTCCATGTTTCCTCACCTCCATGCGGTTCCTTGTTTTCCCAGTCAATCCTTCCGTGATTGAAGTCCCTAATGATGAGCACATGGAATCGATTTCTTCAGGCAGAAGCGGTTGCTCTCTCGATTATAGTGTTAATTGGCATGTTGTTTCTGTAATACTCCTACCTGGGTCTTCTGTCATTTGTTGGAGGGTTATATATCACTGCTACTACTACGCTTGATTCTCCCATCGTCATGGTGCCTGTTATGTAGTCTCTGAACCTCCTCACAGCCCGGGATAACCATCTCCTCGAAACTCCATTCATTTCTCATCATAAGTGCCACATACAGGCCCGAGCAGTGGTGGATGATGGTTTTGGTTGGTGGTGGTGGTTGATGGTTGTGTTTGCCGTCAGTAATGGTTGATAGTTGTGGTGGTTGATGGTTTGGGTTGGTGGTGGTTATGATTCATGGATATGGTTGGTGCTAGTTATATGTTATGGTTGTGGTTATGTGGTAGTTGTTGTTGACGGTTATTATTGGTGGTAGTGGTGGTTGCTGGTTGTGGTTGGTGGCAGTTGTTGTTGATGGTTGTGGTGGTTGATGTATATGGTCGGTAGTAGTTAAGGTTAATGGATTTAGCTGGTGGTTGATTGTTGAAGTTGGTGGTAGTGGTGGTTAATAGTTGAGGTTACTGGTAGTGGTGGTTTGAATTTTGTGGTTGGTGGTAGTGGAAGTTTATATATGTGGTTGGTTGTAGTGGTGATTGATAGTTGTGGTTTTTGGTAGTGGATGTTTGTGGTATTCGTCGTTGATGGGAGTGTTGATTGATGATTGTGGTTTGTGGTAATGATGGTTAACATGTTTATAGTTTTTTATATTAGCGGTTGATTGCTGTGGTTGGTTATAGTGGTAGTTGATGGATGTTATTGGTTGTAGTTGCGTTTGTTGGTGGTAGTGGCTGCTGATAGTTGTTGGTGGAGTTGGTATTGGTAGTTGATGGTAGTGGTGGTTGACAGTTGTGGTTGTTAGTTGATGGTTGTAGTTGGTGATAATAGTAGGAGATGGTTGTCGTTGATGATAATAGTAGTTGATGGTTGTAGTTGGTTGTAGTTTTGTTTAGTGGTGGATTTTAGGTATTTTTTATTAAAGAAGTTGTTGATTGTTCTTGTAGTTGATGGTTGTGGTTGTGGTAGTGATGATTGATGGTTGTGGTTGGTGGCAGTTGTGGTTAATGGTTGTATTTGGTGGCAGTGGTGGTTGATGGTTGTGTTTGGTATTAGTGGTTGTTGATGATTGTGATGGTTGATGATTTTAGTTTGTGGTGGTTGATGATTGTGATGGTTGATGATTTTAGTTGGTGGTGGTTGATGATTGTGATGGTTGATGATTTTAGTTGGTGGTTGTTGTGGTTGATGGTAGTGGTTTATGGTAATGGTGGCTATTCACTCTGATTAGTGGAAGTGGTGGTTGATAGTTGTGTTTTGAGACAGTGGCTGTTTAAGGTTGTGGTGGTTGATGATTTTTGGGTGGTAGTAGTAGTAGTAGTTGAAGGTTTTGGTTGGTGGTAATGGTGGCTGATGGTTGAAGATGGTAGTTGTTGTAGTGGAAGGTGGTGGTTGTGGTGGTTGACGGTTGAGGTTAGAGGTAATGGTTGTTGATGGTTGAGGATGAAGGTAGTTGTGTGTTACGAACCAGGTATTTACCTGATTTCTAACTATGTTAATGTATGTATAATTATACA